TCTAACACTGCTAAAAGTTTTATATAAAAAAAATCACAGGCTTTAGAAAGCGCTACTAAAAGTTGTTATTTTGTAATACTATAGAAAGCGCTTTCATGAAAGTGATGCTATAGGGATAGGATACGAAAGCGCTTTCTAAAAGCGCTGCTATAAGGGGGGATACGAAAGCGCTTTCTAAAAGCGCTGCTATAGGGGGGTACGAAAGTGCTTTCTAAAAGTGCTGCTATAGAGGGGGGATACGAAAGCGCTGCTAAAGGTCCTGCCCTAGGCAGACTTTAGAAAGCGCTGCTAAAGGTGGGATTTACGAAAACGCTTCTAAGGAAAAAGTGCTGCTATAGGGGGTTTTAAAAGCGCTTTCTAAAAGTGCTACTATAGGTCTTTAGTTATTTAAAAATAAAACAGACTTTTCATTATTTCATTTCATTCAATATTTCTTTCTTTCTCTCTCGCGCGCTCCCTCTGTCGTTTTCTCTCAAACTCTCACAACTAAACCTTCTCCCTCCGTTGTGCTCCCTCCGTCTAACGACGTATCTCTGTCATTTTCTCTCAATCTCTCACCACTGAACCATCACCCTCCGTCATGCTCCCTCTGTATGTTCTCTCTCATTCTCTCACCACTGTTATTGTTGTTATTGTTGTTTTTATTTATATTTCTATGTTGATGAACTCTAAAATGTATTTGTAAACCTGTTCAGATTTATAATTTAGTTTGCTCTAGGGTTTATAGTTTATATCTGTTATATCTGTTAAGTTATGAACTCTAAAATGTATTTGTAAACCTGTTCAAATTTTCTATTCTATTTCATAAGTTTGTTTGAGATTTTTGTGAGAATTTGTACTGAATATACCAACTACAAAAAGAGAAAATAAAATACTATCCAGCAGAAGTGACTTCCAGGAAAGAATGAATTGATTTCATTACATAATATTGAGAGTGCATCGGGCATATATATATATATATATATATATATATATATATATATATATATATATATATATATATATATATATATATATATATATATATATATATATATATATATATATATATATATATATATATATATATATATATATATATATATATTGTAAGCTTATTTAGGAAAGAAACTGACAGCCTATTTTGAAATTATATATATTATTTAGGAAAGAAACTTCGACAGACATAACATTACATATTTTTTGCATATTATATTATATTTTTGCAGGATTGTATTACTCAAAAGTGTAACAGATATAACAACTTAACTGAAAAAAACATTTTAATGAATATATTGCACTTTCTAAAGATTATGTTGTTGAGTGTTGAATTCTTTATGAACAATGGTTTATAATTTTTATCATGTACACTTGTACTACTAGTTTCCTCTTTTTCTAACCATGTATATTATATTTTGAAAAATACTATCATAAGCTCTCTCTTTGATATAGTAGAGGTTCAAAAATATGGTCTATTGTGTACGGAAAATTTATAGTTTGAGTGATATTATTAGAACTCACTTTGTCTTCTAAAATTACTTAATAAACAATATTAGATATTTCGTACCTATAATAAGATTTTAAAAATTAACAATTTTGAATAGTTTGTTAAGCAATGCATTAGCTTTAACATTTTAGACTCTGTTATAACTCTGTTATATAATTTTTGAAAAGAGTTCTTATTATGTTAATAGTTACATGAGAATTAGACAAATTTTGATTAGTTGCTTAATAGTTAAATGTGATTCCAAATATTGTTGTTGATGTTGTTAATATTAATGTTGTTAATGTTGTTGTTAATGTTGATGTTAATGTTGTTAATGAAAACATGAATTAATTTTGTATGTTAATTTGTTATAGGGGTTACTTGTGAAGATTGTGATCGTTTCCAAAAAATCTTATTGTGTAGTCCAAGAATATTTGTTTATATTATGTTAGAGCTATTCAAATATTTTGATCACAAAGACAAGGAACAATACCAAAACGTAAGGCTAACAACATTAGCTGGATCAGAGTGCAGGTATATTTTCACAATTTTGACTGTTACAGTGATTCTACTTAATAAAACTAATTAAACTATATATCCTGATATATATTTGTTTGTTTTTTCCATTTACAGTGTCCTCGTCAGCGCAATGGAATTGATTGCGGATATTTTGTATTGAGATTCCAAATAGAGATTGAGGTTTATGAAGGAAATTATTCATTCGGGTCAAATAGAGATTACAAACATGGTATGGATTTATAAGTTATATGATTTATTTTAATATTTAATCGATATTTCATCTAAGTAATTAGTTTTAAAACTAAATCATGCATATTATGTTATATTATGTAGTACTTTGATGAATTCAAGTGTGTTACTTACTCGAAAGACAAATTGGAAGAAATTAAGGAGGAATGGTGTCAATACATTCTTGAAATGAGAATTGTATAAGGTGTATATATATATATATATATATATATATATATATATATATATATATATATATATATATATATATATATATATATATATATATATATATATATATATATATATATATATATATATATATATATATATATATATATATATATATATATATATATATATTGTCTTTCTGTCTTTTGATCGGAGTTTATAGAGATTTGTGTTGTTATAATGTTATGTACATACTCCTGAATAATTATAGTTCTGGAAATCGTATATAGTTTTGGAATTTGTTGATATACTTCGATCTAGAAGTTAGTTGTTATGAGGATCCGGAAATATGAAATTTGTAATTATATGTATAGTGAATGTATTTGTGAAGTTATTGGTTTTGGAATATATTTTAGAATTATGGATTGTTTCTGTTGAATTATAATATATATATATATATATATATATATATATATATATATATATATATATATATATATATATATAAGGCCTATATATGTGTTGAAATAAAGGCTTGTGTTGAATTACAATGATTATAAGTAGGTTTATGTGTTGAATTGTTATGGTATATATAAGGGCAAAGTGTTGAAATAAAGGTTTGTGGTGAATGTAATTGTTATAAGCAGGTTTATGGGAAAAAAATTATAAAGAATTGTGCAACAGAGTTCAACAAAAATCATTTCCTAAAAATATGCAAAATAGACAGCGCTTTTACCAAAAAAAACGCTATGAAAAAATGATTTTTTTGAGAAAAAAATTCAATGACGTGAAGAAAATACAGCGCTTTTCTTGTAAAAGCGCTGCTAAAAGGAGGGGGGAAATAGAGCGCTTTTGAAAGCGCTGCTACAAGGGGGATAGAGGAAAAAGAGAGTGCTTAAAAAAGCGCTGCTAAAGGTGGGGGAAAAGGCAACGGTTTTCTTAAGAAAAGCGCTGCTAAAGGTATTCAGCAAATACACTTTAGGCATCGCTTTTTAAAAGCGCTGCTAAAGGTGGGAGAATAGAGAGCGCTTTTTTGAAAAAGCGCTGCTAAAGGTATTCAGAAATACACTTTAGGCAGAGCTTTTAAAAAGCGCTGCTAAAGGTGGGGGGAAAGAGAGCGCTTTTCTGGAAAAGCGCGGCTAAAAGTGGGCCTATAGCAGCGCTTTTTACTTTAAAAAAGCGTTGTCTTTACCTTTAGTAGCGCCACTTTAGGCAGCGCTTTAAAGGTCTTTTTGGCATAGTGAACTCTCAAGGTCACTTACTCCCACTTGCCAAACCTCTTCCACTTATGCAACGCAAGACTCGGACATAATGACCGCGGTAAAGGACCAATACTCTAAGGTATTCACATTATTGCACAATGACAGACCTTTGGGCAATTATTTCGGACCGACCATAAGTCCAAGGACGAAGAGGCTCAATCACAAGAAGGCCTATCCAAAAGCTCAGTAAGATGTTGAAGAACTAGCGCACCCATAATCATGAGACCCACACCCAATCTTCGTCTTCAGATGATTGTCTTTCGTCAAATATAATCAAACGATCTTTCACACCTCACGTTGGGAAGCATGAAATGATTATAATCACCCTTCTTATATAAGGCGCATTACGCAAAGTTCACATATATGTTCTCATCATCACCCACTTTATCGTTTTTATTTTACATTTCATTGACTTAAGTGTTAAAGTATTAATTTTACAAATTCACTCTATTTTATACAATTGTTCTATACAACTGAAAAATACTCACCACCGTACTAATCAACCTTATACCTTTGTATCCACCATTTATGGTTTCCTATTTTAAATTTGATTGATTCTTGTATGACCAAAAATCACTTTAAACAATTATAGAGTAAATTATTTAACTTTTCATGAGATAGATGTGACTCCCAATCTTAATTTTTATACCGACCAAACAATAACAAAATAAACCGTTAACCAAACATAGGAACTCATAATCCTAAAAGTGAACATTGTCCAACATTTGTGCTACATTCAATTGCATCCCATAAACACATGTAGATACATACGTTCATACGTGGGACTATGCACGAGTTTGTTTGGCAGAAACAGTTTCCATTCGCCTTCACACATGTGTAACAAACACAAAACGGAATCATTGAATGAAATAACGACAAAGATTCACCTCCACGTGGCTAGGTACATTCACCAAACGTATCTAACCACATGGTATCTTTGATTCCTTGGTTAACAATTGTTGAATTTCAATCTTAAAGAAGAAGCCAATGTCAATTTTGAATCCTTCCCTTTTTTATTAATTTCTGTTGGACAATTTTGGACCTCAAAAATTTGTCTGGTTTACATCCACACACACCCTTCAAAAAATCTCACACCCCTTCTTCTCTTTTTGTTTACTTTTCCTTGCACCTATTTGCCTCCTCTTTCTCTTCTTCAACCTTAACTCTTCATCCGTCTTTGACTGTAACAACTATACAAGTTCCAATTTTTCTGCATACCCTTTATTAACTACTTCCTTAATTGCTTATTTAGTCTGTTGGGTATTTTTATTAAGCTTCATTTCTATCCTTAAAACCATATTTCATTTGGGTGTCTTTTTTTCATCTCTTAAGAGTTTTTGTTGTGAGAGAGGAAGATGGTAGGAGCAATATCTGTTATTGGTTCATCAATGATGGACTCACACACTGGTCCATGTTTGTGTGTGGATTCTCTTCCAACCACAAATGTGAAGAGTGGTTGTGGAGATGTGGTTTTGTGGAAGAATTTGATGGGAAGGAAGCGTTCGGCGAGTCGCGGCGGTAGGAGTATGGGGTTGAGCAGTTCTTTTACTGATCCGGGAAGAGAATGGAGGCTCAAGTTTAGCAGAAGCTGTATGAAGCAAAGCAGTAATGATAGGAGAGTTACCATTGTTAGTGAACTTGGTGGTCAGTATGATGATACTTTTGAGGATGTTAAAACGGTAATTTAATCTAAACTTTGGTGCATGCTATTCAATAATGATAATGTTCTTGAATTCATAATTCTAGCTCAGTGCGCTCCTCTCGAGATCTCAGGTTTGAATCTCGCTAAGTGCGAACTATTCTTTTATTAGGCTACAGAGTTTTGTTCTGACTTTAAACGGAGTCGGCCCTAACAAGTGGACAGTAGGATTAATCCCTTTGGATTAATCGGTAGCCGGATACTAAGCTTGCATTTTCAAGAGTTATGAGTCTTTTACATGTTAAATTAGGATATGAATTTGTTAACACATGTTATGTATGAAAGCAATCTAATTGAGCTCATCTTCCTAAACAGCAAATGCTCAACTATTTCACGTACAAAGCTGTGAGGACTGTTCTTCAGCAGCTGTATGAGATGAATCCACCTAAATATACTTGGTTTTATAAGTAAGTGAATTCTGTTATTTGTAAGGACACAAATACCTTTTGAAATTTCGACAACGTATTTTTGTTTTACAATTTCATTGTAAGGTGATTATTTAGATCATACTGTTATTTGTGTTTTGTTCTATGTTTGCAGTTTTGTTGTATCAAACAAACCGGCAGATGGAAAACGTTTTATCCGAATGCTCGGGAAGGTACTCTTTCATGAATACATTGATAACTTTTACTAAAAAGTTAGTTCTGTTAATTTATGATTTAGATGATGCCATATATCTTTTCATTCATTTGACAGGAACAACAAGAGCTTGCTGAAAGAGTGATGTTAACTCGGCTTCACCTCTATGGCAAATGGGTCAAGGTAATGGAACTCAAAATTCTCATTCTTGAATATATATTCAAAGGCATGTAAATGTAAAATCATTTGTCAAGGCATTAATGTTTCTTCACCGATGCAGAAATGTAATCATGCTGAGATATATAAACAAATATCTGATGAAAACTTGGAGTTGATGAGGGAAAGACTCATAGAGACAGTAATATGGCCATCAGATGACAGCAACACAGAAAAGATTGGTTGATATGAATCAACATTGTTACTTTCTGTCTTCTACCTCTTAATTATTAGTTTAGGTATAAACATACATGTTTTGTTTCCAGATTTATGTTATGTAAATTGTGTATATCTCAGTACCTTCTAAATACATAGTTCATTATTTTAGTTTGAGATGTCGGATTTAAAATCTTGAGGCATTTGCAAAGAATGCTTCAATGATATATAAATCATAAGTATTGTCAACTTTCAAATTCATATTATCGATATTCCAAAATTTGACACACGGAAGAATATTCTGCTGAGACTTGACACCTGACATCGTCTCTCTGCAAAGTACATTAAAGTTGAAGTTAGTATTTTGTAAAATCTAAAAAATATATATGGGAAGATGAACATGATTACAAATTTTTTTGGTGAAAGAATCACCATGTTTATATATCTATGTTTTAGTTGATCCAAAGTCGAACACTTTCATGAATTCAAAGCAATGCTGAAGAATGAAGCCATTAATTTTGTGTATTCAAATTGTTATGAATTCAAAGCAATGCCGAAGAATGAAGCCATTAATTTTGTGTATTCAAATTGTTATGATGGTAAGAAATTGGCGAATTTTTTATCCAAATAACTTAACTTTTTTTAAAAAAATCCAAAATAACCTACATTTTAAAATTATTCCCAAAATACCACAGTTAGGGTTTGGGATTACACAAGGGCACAAGATGAATTGGCGACACCTTATTAAGGCTATAAGGGAGTCGCCAATTAGTCTGGAGACTCCTCATGCATTCTCCATTCCAATTAGCGACTGAGTGTTGTACTTACAAGGGTGCTGACAATTCATCTAGAGACCCTTTGTATTTTGAAATTTTTTCTAAAAAATAAATACTTCTAAAAATAATTAATAAAATAAGTCAGAGGGGGAAATAAATGTTATCATTAATTAAAAAAAGTATTACATAAACTAATGTTGACGACCGGGTTGGTCAATACCGGCCACCGGTTCCACATCCCCTAAACACCCTAACTCGTTGCGTTCGTCTCCCTCGTTATTGATTCATGCATGGTGTTTGAGGAGTTGAAGTCTCAGGAACATTCTCAAATGGTTCCCGAAGGATCTCTTGCATTTCCATTAAGTCATGTGTGTTGAAATTGAACGTGTGACCCATGCAACAGTAGTTCGAATGTGATGAATGGGTCATTGGTGTACGGCCTGGACGATTGAAGGGGGATATTAGTGTGAATGATTCGTTGGTGAAAGGTTGAAATGGTAGTGGTGTTTGAAAGTCATAAGGTTGTTGAGATGGTTGAGTGGGTAGGCCAGGGTATGATGTCGGAGTGTTTTGGCTATGGAAAGATGTTCGAGCGTTATGATTATGGTATGATGTACCCTCGTTATGGCTATATCTTGATATTGCATTGGGGCCATAGCCATATTGGGATTTTGAATAGTAGTTAGTGTGTGGGAGATGGTATGGGAGACGTTCTTGGTATTGTGGTTGGGTGTTTGGAATGTTTGGATGGTGAATGGGTTGGTAACTCTGTTGGATAAGGGGTTGTGAGTAACATGGTCTTTCTGGTGGATTAGACGTTGAAGCGTCTTATGTGTAGGTGGTTTGGCGTGGGTCGTATAAATATTTGTCTTCGGAAACAAACCCAGTTGCAACCGATCTGTACCAAGCCATATAATTAATAGTTGGTATAGATGGTGTTGCCATCACCGGGTCACGTAAGACATAGGCGATGCGAGTCATCTATTTACGACGCTCAGATTTTGAAAATTCTTCCAATTGAGAAACTCCCATTGATCATTAATTCTTTTTAGATGTCATTTACTAATGTCAACATGAGGATTTGGAATGTTTTGATGCAACGTAGCCTGAGCCTTGTTACATGCATGCATAGCATGTTGTCACCCACATGACGACAGAGCACATTAAAGGTTGTACCATGTCGCCAATGCAGGTGGCGAATTCTTTAAATGATTGTACCATGTCGCCAATTGAGTTGGCTTCTGCATTTACTAACTTTTTCTTTGTCGCCAATTAATGTGGCACCTTAATGGATGTTCGAAACTCATAAATATGTTTCCATGCATGCAGACACTCATAGAAACAATTTTACCAATACATTACTAGTTCTTTTAGTATGTCATCTGCACCCAGATATATTGCTAATGCCCACTACAACGGAGAGACATATATCTCCGATGTATCTGGATTTAATTTTCAAAACACCGACATTGTCTGTTTCACAATCAATAGAAACACAAGTTTCTTGCATTTCAAAGAAAGATTGGAATCGAAATTAAGGCTCGATCATATAAATAATATTTCAAAACCCGGTTTAATTTGAAACCAACCACGTTAAATTTTATCCACTTAAAGTGTGAGGCGACGAAGATGTAGAAAATATGTTCCTAAGTCACGAACATTCTAGTTTCAACTACATTGAGTTGTATACGTTCCTCCAACAAAATATTTCATCTCAACAGTCTCAGATCATTGATCAATCAACAGTTTTTTACTCAGATAAAACTGAATCACAGTACTCAGATGTAGCAAAACCAAAGGTCAACGTCGTTGATGAAGAAGAAGAAGGAAGTGAGATGCTGGTAGATCAATTGTTGAACGACAACGTTGAAGATGACGAACAAGTGTCAATACCTCCAGGTCATGCATATTATTCGCCTCAACATATGACATACTTGGACTTGCAAGACGATGAGAGATCCGCATATATGTTTCACAACTCGTATATACGGTCAAAGAATGAGTTAAAAGTTGGAGACCGGTTTCGTACCAAGGAGGATTGTGTACGATCCATTAAAAAATATCACATGGATAACTCGGTTGATTTCAATGTACAACGAACTGATTCGAGAAGGTGTGTCATTCTTTGTAGTAATCCACTTTGCAAGTTTCGGCTTACTGCGTCTTACAACAAAAGAAGCGATTCTTGGATGATAGCTTCCATAGAGCCACCTCACTATTGCACTACCACAAATATTATTCAGGATCACCGAAAGCTGAGCGCAGAATTGATATATCAAGAAATTTTGCCGCTTATTAACAAGGATCCTTCAGTCAAGGTAAGTATAATAAACTTTCATACCGTAACGCGGTATAATTATACTCCATTGTGCAAGAAGGCGTGGATTGCAAGGACAAAGGTTGTTGAACAAGTATTTGCCAACTGGGAGAATTCATACAAAGAATTACCGCGATTATTGGTAGCGCTAAAGACATACACACTAGAAACTGTTGCAATTGTAACACCCATTTTAATTATTTAGTCATTTTATTATTATTTTAAATATTATATGTTGGTGTACCCTTTGGTGGGGGTGTATTTGGTGATGTTTTGTGGGTGTCCCTAATGTGGGAGGATTATTGGTGGTGTTTTGGTGAATATAATAATATAGTGTATAATATTAATATTGGTGGGAATATTATTATTATTATTATATTTATCATAGTTACTATTGTTATTAATATTATTATTATTTTGGTGAGATAATAATAATATTATTATTATTATTATTCTATTAAGTTATTATTATTATTATTAAGTTATTATTATTATTGGGATTAGAGAATTAAAATAGACAATGTGAGGGGTTAGCAGTTTTTACGATACATTGTGAGAAGTTAGAGAAAGTGGAAAAAGAACGATAGAAAGGAGAGAAGTGAGAAGAACGGAAAAGGGAGCGAAGAACGAAGGAACGGGGGAAAATCAGAATTGGCCAAACCTTGGAGGGTTCTTTCATCGATCAACCGATTAACAAGGTAAGGGGGGAGAAACTTGATTGGGAAATGGTTTATACATGTATAGGGTAGTTGGGGATTCCTTAACCCCGTAGAAAGATCATCTATATATGATATTGTGAGTTGATATGTTGTTATTGATGACGACTGTTGATAATTGGATAGTAATCGTTGAATGAATTGTTGTTTTTGGTTAATTTGGCGTATAGGTTGAGTTATGATTTTAGGGGAGGTTTTGTGTGACCTTTTGAGGTATCGGTAGAATATGTAGGCGTTGATTTTGGGAATAGGATTTAGAAACCGAGTGTTCGTGGTAATGTGCAAGATTGTTACTAGAATAGACTGAGAATCTGAGTTGAGATGATAGGCATAATTTGGCCTAGAATAGCACTGCAGAATTGTGAGGAAACTGATGAATCGCAGCATTCGCTGGGCTTCGTCTGGCGAATGTTGGCGAAGCTTCGCCTGGCGAAGGGAGGCGAGAGTTCGCCTGGCGAGCTGAGGCGAGTGGCAGCGAATAATTCAGAATTAAGTCTCAGACCTAAAGGGTAGGAACTTCGCCTGGCAAGTGTGGCCAGCGAAGGTTCGCCTGGCGAATGAAGGTTCGCCTGGCGAGTGCACGATAGTGAAATGAGGGCTTCGCCAGCAGGTTCGCTTGGCGAATGCCAGCGAACGTAGCAGAACCAGAATGTGATTTTTGTGATGTTTTGGCCTTGAGCTTGGGCTTGTGTGATCCTTTTGGCCTTGATGCACCGTAAGAATGATGAGTGTGGGAACTAACTTGTGTACTTGGTGATAGTGCATGTTTCCCGTAATAATGACTAGTGGACAATTAGTTGATATATATGTATGTAGTGATCAGTAGGATCGTGTATCCCCGAGTAGTGGGATGTGTTTGTATCTTGGTGATAGAATATGAACTTGTTTACTATCTGGTTGATTTATATGGTGTTGGTGTATGTTATATCTGTACATATATGCATTGATGTATGATGATATGATCAGGAGGATCGTGTGCACGTTGAGTGCCTAAATATATTAGTTATGCATTGGTGTGTGCATATCATGGTGTTTTGGTGGGATGAATCATGTCTCAGGAGGAGCGTAAGTGATTCATCCATACTCCTTTGTGGAGAATGGTGGGGGATAGATCATGTCTCAGGAGGAGCGTAAGTGATCTATCCAGGTTCGATTGAATGAACCAACGAGTCGGTACCGCATGCATGGTGTTGAGTTGCATTTTGCATTATAATATGTTATA